GGATCCATACATAGCTTTAAGAAGAGGTATGATAAAGCTCATGGAGCGGGAAGAGTGACCGGTTAGCGGCTAGTTGAAGAGGCGGAGCCAGGAGCTGTGAATCGACCCCCACAACTAGAACTAGGTGAGTACACCCTCCACCTGGTTACAGGTGAAAGGTTGGCTTGCGACCGAAAGGGTTTAGCTCTTCTACATAAATATAATAATGTGACCCACTATAGAATCATTACAGACCCCTTTTCAGAATCATTACAAAACCATTACGAAATCCCTATAGACCCACTACAAAACTATAGACCTGTAATAATTCAGTACAGAGCCTCTACAGAATCATTTCAGACCCACTATATAATCTGTACAGATCCACTACATAATTAGTACGGACCCTCTAACGAATCACTACCGATCCATAACAGATTCATTAGACCCACTACAAAATCACTACGAATCCACTACAGAACCACTACACACCAATCACAGAGCCATTACAGAGCATTTATAGCCAATGGATGATGCTTTCTCGAGTTATGAGCAAATAAAAACGAAAAGCTTAGGGAATAAAAAATAAATCTAGTCAAGTTCATAATTAAAGGTTCTACTTCCTTCCGGGACTCTTAATAAGTAGATAAACAGCTAAAACACAAGTATCTTTTACCTTTCCTCTTTGAAAACCCTCAAGGAAGGTTCCTTGATGTTGGTGAGGGGCTCTTGATTTAGGGAATTGGATCTGTGCTCCAGTTCCCCCAATTAAGCCTGAATGCCTTCACATCCCCCCCCCTAGGCGCTGTATAATCTCCGGGTTTAGCGCTTCCCCCTTGATTATAATAATAATAATAATAATAATAATCCTCTTTGAAAGTATCTACACAAATGTAACTAGATCTGAGCCAGACAAGATGTTTCGCTCAAGGCCAGGACAGATGAGTTTAGTGCTTGTGTACTTTATCTACATCTACGTCCTCCTGACCCACATTCTTGCCCTTCAAGAAGTCTGCAGTTATTAGCACATCAAGATCCTCTGAGCATCTTGTGTGGCGTGGGCAAATCTCCTCTAGTTTATCATATTTTAAATCCTCTATTTATATTAAGTTATTTAAGTCTGTCATCACAGATGACGTGCGCGCGAGAGTGCGTGTACATGCGTGCATTCATGTGTGAGAGGTGTGGGGGCCCGTGGTAGTTTTTGGGAACACTTCATGTGGTTTTACCTTGAAAGAAAACGAGGTGCAGGTTGGTCAGGGAAACGGGGTTTGACGGTCGGCAATACCAAAATAACGAACATACATAACACTTTATTAACGACTCAGTATTGTTCAACGAGCTAGACAGATAAAATAATTTCCCCTTATAAAACTTAAATTAAAAGGGTCAATATTCAGACAACCCCTCCCTCACACCTCCCCAAAGTGTCAGGACACTGCCTCTTCAAAACCTTTTTTCTTGTTTCCCCCATAACTTTCTTTTTGCTCTACCCAAACCCTAGTCATTTCCCGTTTCCACTCTTGCTAGCGATATTATTGCATAACCTTCCCTTACCCCCACCCACAAAAAAAAAGTATCCAGGTAAAAAAGACCACTACATATGGGCCAGCGGCTGCGGTGAGGTTGCGGGGGGGGGGGGGGCGTCAAGGAGAGGGTTAAACACGAATTTCCAGTCTGTTTTTTTCCCAGCATATGCGAGATATATCCAGTCAGCCATACCCGTCACCTTCTTGCACAGACAATGGGGTGTTGCTTAAGAAACGTTCTGCTGCTTCTGATGTTTTTGGTCACTTCTACTGCTTCTTGTGCTGCTGGCGGGCATTTTCGTTTTTGCTGCTTCTTTGGCTGTTTTCCACTGAATCTGTTGTTGATTTTAACTGCTTGCATTTCTGTTTTTGCTTGCGCGAAATGCTCTGCATAACTATGGGCTTTTTGCATGCACAACTAAATGTCACCCATCTCTGTTTACCTGAGAGAGTTCGGGGGTCAACGCCCCGCGGCCGGTCTGTGACTAGGCCTACTGGTGGATCAGAGCCTGATCAACCAGGCTGTTACTGTTGGCTGCACGCAAACCAACGTACGAGCCACAGCCCGGCTGGTCAGGAACCAACTTTAGGTGCTTGTCCAGTGCCAGCTTGAAGACTGCCAGGGGTCTGTTGGTAATCCCACTTATGTATGCTGGGAGGCAGTTGAGCAGTCTCGGGCCCCTGACACTTATTGTATGGTCTCTTAACGTGCTAGTGACACCCTGCTTTTTCATTGGGGGCTGTTGCGTCGTCTGCCAAGTCTTTTGCTTTCGTATTGAGTGATTTTCGTGTGCAAGTTCGGTACTAGTCCCTCTAGGATTTTCCAGGTGTATATAATCATGTATCTCTCCCGCCTGCGTTCCAGGGAATACAGGTTCAGGAACTCAAGCGCTCCCAGTAATTGAGGTATTTTATCTCCGTTATGCGCGCCGTGAAGGTTCTCTGTACATTTTCTAGGTCACCAATTTCACCTGCCTTGAAAGGTGCTGTTAGTGTGCAGCAGTATTCCAGCCTAGATATGAACAAGTGACCTGAAGAGTTTGTAGATGAATGTTCTTCAAGATTCTCCTTTGTATGGACTGATGAAGCCACTGTGTGGCGAAACGTTTCCTCAATAAAGATACCCAAGAGTTGCACATGTGTCTATTTATCGACCTGAAGAGTGTCATCATGGTCTTGGCATCCCTAGTTTTGAAGGTTCTCATTATCCATCCTGTCATTTTTCTAGCAGATGCGATGATACAATGTTATGGTCCTTGAAGGTGAGATCTCCGACATGATCACTCTGTGCATTATTATTACAATAAAAAATGAAGTGCTAAACTCCATCTCTCTACAAACATTGTATCATACCTGGATGAGTATACTTGGCGGGTGTTTCGGGGGTCAGCGCCCCCGCAGCCTGGTCCTTGAAAAAAAAATATTATTAAAGCTTCTTGTTGTTTTCCAATTTATCTGTTGTTGTTTTTAAACTGCTTGCACTGCTGTTTCTGCATCATCAAGGCTGCTTGTAACCTGTAAACCACCAGAAAATGATAATGTAATCCCTTAATCAGGGACAAAAGTAAATTCTCAGCATAATTGCTGGAAGATACCTTTCGGGGTATATATGTAGTGCCGAATAGGTAAAATTGGTCAATTAGCGAAAACTCATTTACAATTTAAGTCCCTTCTAAAAATTTTCTCTTATACGTTTAAAGATATATATTTTTTTTCATTTACGTTAATGTAAAAATTAATAATTTTGTACCAAAAGAACCTTAGAAAACTTACCTAACCTTATTACAACAAGTGCAATTTAGTTTTGCTTAATACAACTAAATACATTTTAGATAAGTTTACAACAATTTGATAATAAGCAAACAATGAAATATATATTTTTTCGTTAGATTCAGAATGATTTTTGCGAAATTATTGCATACAACAAATTTTCGCTTGCCTTTATTCGGCAAGAAGAGCGTTGTATTTAACCAAAATCGCAAGTATTACCTATTCGGCATGGACATATATATTACGAGAGATTACAAACTTAGAGGTTTATAATCCAGAAGTAGCAGTAGCTGCTGCTGCTACTGCTGCTGTTTCTGTTGTTGTCGTGCTGATGCGTCTGTTCATACTGCTCCTTTTCTAGTAATGTTCTCTACTGTTATATTGTTGTTTCTTTTGCTACTGCTGGTGCTGCTGCTTCTGTTGTTGCTGCTTACTTTTTTTTTGCTGTTGACTTATTCCGGTTGCTTCTGCTGCTCCTGTTACCGTTGTTGTTGTTTCCACTACTTAATGTTTCTGTTACTGACACTATGTTGCTGCTGTTGCTTCTGTCTATTATTATACGTTTCATGTTTTTTTTTTTTTTGCTGCTTTTGTTGTCACTGCTTACTATTTTTGCTTTAGATGCTGTCTTATGTTGCTGCTGTTTGTGTTCGTCGGTGCTCCTCCTCCTGTTGCCTCTGCTTCACTTTCTGTAGACGCTGTTTCTGTTGCGTTTTGCTTGTGTTGTCGCTGCTACTGCGCTACTGTTGCTGCTACTGCGCTACTGTTGCTGCTACTGCGCTACTGTTGCGCTACTACCACTGTTGCTGATCTTTTTCATTTATGCTATTTTTTTTTAAATTTTACTGAAAAACAATACAATACATTAAATAAATAAAAGAACACAGTATCAGTTCTTCCACAGAAATTATAAATTTTCATTGTCAAAATATTTATGCTACTATTATTGCGATTTTTCCGTTGCGGCCGCTGCTGCTATTGTTGTTGATTCTTTTTCTTTTGTTTCTGTTATTGCTACTGTTTACATTTCTTCTGATGCTGCTTTTATTTCTGATGTTGCTACAGATTCTTTAATGCTACTTTTGGTGCTAGTTAAGTTGTTTCTGTCTTTCCAACTGCTGCTCTTTTTTCCTTGTTTCTGCGACTTTTGTCGGTTTTTAACCTTGATGGTATTTTCTTTGCTGATGATTTCGTTGTATATTGTTCCGGAGAATTCCGTTGACCCCCTTTTCAGTGTAGTGTATTCTGTTTTAGCTGATTTCGTTGCTGTTGATAAAATACGCAGTGGGCTTATCACAGGAAGGAACAGACAAGAACTTAGGACGATCAAAATGTGCAGGAATCCCCAAAAAAGTGGACTGTCTTCTCCGGATCCCAGTAGGAGCACCCGCTCTTGAAGGCCCATCTGACTGCTAAAGTTATTAATATTTCTACATCTCTTTAAACGGTGTTTCGTGAAATACTTTCAGGAAAATGGGAAAATACAGAAATAAAATAACAGCTGTTCTGCGGACACTGGAAGTCTTGTTCAATTTAGTGGTGTGATTAAGTAAGAATTAGTAGTTACCTGGCAACGTAACGAGAGGACGGGATGGAGGGAAGCATGGCGAAGGGGGAGGGGATGGTAACCTGCTATAAATGGAGGATGAGGAACAAGGACAGTATCAGTCGCTTCACCTGACGCTTAAGAAGTTAGTTGTGGTCGCTATGAATTACCCGAGCCTTGGTTAGTATCTCCTATTTTTGGCGGTGGTGTTGAAAGTTGTATTTCTCATGACTGATACTAGTACTGTTGATCCGCGGAACTTGCTATTGTCATTGTTAGTGGTAGTAGATGTTTTTGGAATGCTTGAAGAATAGACGCATGTTGCAGATCAGTGCTTTTGTTATGAACAATGTATGAGGTGTCATCTGTATGATTTTACTGCTTATAGTTAAAAATAATACCTTGAAGGGCTTTCCTGTTATGAAATACGGAGTATCAAATAAATTTTAATAGCATGGAGAAGATAATGATAATTTATCCATTTAAAGTAAAGTTGGGTATATTCTTTATGATGTAAAATGCCAGTCCACAACTGAAGAGAAATACAAGCTGTGTTAAGGAGCTTAAATTGCTGTTGGAGATCTACTGAAAGAAGTTTCGTCACACTGTAATACATTCTGTGGTATTAATTGTAGAGACAATGTTAATCAGTGTTATATGGGTCATGGTGAGTCTTGGAGAGAAATGGTACTGTCTACAATTATCCATCTGTAATACTTGTATCAAACTTTAATTGTCTATGGTTGATGTACAATCATGGACACTTGACTGAACTTCGATGGTACAATAAGCATGTTCATCAAGTGACCCTTCATGGTACCATCATGGTATCTTCCATAAACTTTTAGCGTGGAAAACTGTCAATTTTAAAACGCAAATTGAGTTGATAAACTAGCACAAAATTCGTCATTCAAAACTCTCATTGTCAGCAGCGTCAAGTTACAGACACAAGATTAATCTTTGTCATCTTTCCGTCCCAGATGATGGTGGTGGTGGTGGTGGCCACGGTGGCAATGGCCATGGCTTACCCAGACCCTGTGAGTCAGTATGGATACGGTGGCGGTAGATTCGGCGGCGGATTCGGCGGCGGATTCGGCGGAGGATTTGGTCGTGGTGGATTTGGTCGTGGCGGATTTGGTCATGGTGGATTCGGTGGCGGTAGATTCGGAGGCGGCTTTGGCGGGTAAGTTAGCATGAGAGAAAGTTGCAATAGAACAAAATGGTTATGTATATACGATAAGTAAAATTCTTAACAATGAAGTTTTTCAAATTTCTCAGTGTTGTATGAAATACACATCTAAAAAAAATAAATTATTGTGTAATCTACTGAATATTCTACACTTAACAGTTCATGAAGTACGCTTCTCATAGCAGGTCTACATTAAATTATACACAATTAACATTATATATATATATATAAAATATATTATATATATATATATTTATATATATATATATATATATATATATATATATATATATATATATATATATTGTAGGTAGGTTGGTAGACAGCAACCACCCAGGGAGGTACTACCGTCCTGCCAAATGAGTGTGAAACGAAAGCCTGTAATTGTTTTACATGATGATAGGATTGCTGGTGTCTTTTTTTGTCTCATAAACATGCAAGATTTCAGGTACGTCTTGCTACTTCTACTTACACTTAGGTCACACTACACATACATGTACAAGCATATATATACACACCCATCTGGGTTTTATTCTATTTTCTTTCTAGTTCTTATTCTTGTTTATTTCCTCATACCTCCATGGGGAAGTGGAACAGAATTCTTCCTCCGTAAGCCATGCATGTTGTAAGAGGCGACTAAAATGCCGGGAGCAAGGGGCTAGTAACCTCTTCTCCTCTATATATTACTAAATGTAAAAGGAGAAATTTTCGTTTTTCCTTTAGGGCCACCCCACCTCGGTGGGATACAGCCGGTTTGTTGAAAGAAAGAAGATATATATATATTATATATATATATATATATATATTATATACATATATATATATGTATATATATAATATATATATATATATATATATTATGTCGTGCCTAATAGGTAAAAACTGGTCAATTAGCAAGAACTCATTTAAAATTAAGCCATTCTAAAAATTTCTGTTATACGTTTAAAGATATATTTTTTTCATTACGTTAATGTAAAAAAATTTAATTTGCACAAAAAGCATCTTACAAAACTTACCTAACCTTATTATAACAAGCGCAATTTTTTTTAGCCTAATTCTACTAAATATATTTTAAATAATTTTACAGTAATTTAATACTAAACAAACACAATGAAATATATTTTTTTCGTTAGGTTTAGAATGATTTTTGCGAAATTATTGCATACACAAATTTTCGCTTGTCCTGTGTGGCAAGATGAGCGTTGCTATTAAAGCCAAGATAGCAAATTCTGCTTATTCGGCACGACATTATATATATATTATATATATATATATATAATATATATTATATATATATATATATATATATATATATATATATATATATATATATATATTTATATATATATATATGAGTGAGGAAAAAAAAGCCATGATGTACACCTGCCCCGGGAGGAGTGTATCTAGTGACTAATATTTACATGTCGCCTTCAGTCATCATGGCGGCTTTGGTCATGGTTATGGTGGTGGCTTCGGCAAGTAGAGAGGCAGTTGGGCGGCTGGACGGACACAACAACGACACCTGACCCTGAGAATGACCCCAACAACGAGCCTCGTCTACTGGCGACACACCTGATGGCCAACTTGTAAACATCTGCACTAAAGTTATCTCTCACCAACATTTATGAATAATAAATAGAGTCAAACAGAGTTATCTTGTTTTCATTTCATGTTCGAAACTCTCATTATATAGTATATTTGGCATTTTTTCACACACACAAAACACCGGGAGATCCAGAAATGATAAGGGAAGAAGCAATGGTTATGTTTGAATGGTACCCAGAGGTGCGGAGGGAAAAGCAACGGTAAGAGGGAGAGCTGCTTTTTTTTTTTTTTTACACAGGTTTGACAAGGTTAGATTAAGGATCCTTAGCTTTATTGAAAGCTATTTACAGGCTAAGGGATTCCTAGCTTTATTAATAGACAAGCAAAAGAGCTGTTGCCTACATCAGCATTTGAAAGCATTTTTACTGTTATGAGACATACAAGTAGGGAACAGGATGGGGTTTGGAGCCATCTGTGGGCCAGCATTTTCATTTGATCAACTGACTTTATTTTTCATGGACTTTAGGAGACCAAAGGGAGGACATATGAAGATGACTGGGAGAGAAAAAAGAGATTGAAAATATCATCAAATAGGATAGGGGGATACTCAGAGGAAGAAATTGGCCAGTCAAATTGATTTTCAAGACAGAAATAACACCGAACAAGATCCTGCAGTAGAAACCCAGCTAAAGAAAACAAAGTAACAGAGGGTGTACCTAGATTGCGACAAAATGAGAGAGGATACAAAGACAAAAGGGGTAAGAGAGACAATGTTAGATTCAGGAGGAAAGAACCAGAGTCAGGAGGAGCAGCATGCACAATCACACACAGAACCACTCAAAGAACCCCACAGCCAAACATATTATCCCAAAAAAACCACACTCCATATTCACAGGCTCCACCCCACCCCACACAGTAGCCTCCTACAGCACCCTGCCAGGTCTCCCACTCCCCATCCCCAATAAACCCCCTCATAAGAGTGTTGGAAAAGAAGCTGAAGGTATGGTACAAGAATGCAGATGGAATAACAAATAAATCTGAGGAGTGGCAAGAAAGAATCACGGAGGCATCACCAGACATCACAGCACTTATGGAAACCGAGCTCACAGGAATGATAACAGACGCCATCTTTCCAACTGGATATAAGAACCTGAAGAAAGATAGTTGGGAAAAAGAGGGGTGGAAGAGTTGCACTTATCAAAAACAGTGGAGGTTTAAATTGGAAGGAGGGGACAGAGGACAAGCAAGGGATTACAGGAGGAACATTTCAGACTGGGAGTCTCAAGGTGGTGATTGCAGTGATGTGTAACCCACCACAGAATAGCAGGCCAAGACGAAAACAACAGAGGAATGGTTGATGCATTAGCTTAGGTGGCCAGAGGGGCCACGCAGGCAGGACAAAGTTACTAATTGTGGTTGACTTCAATCACAAGGAAATTGGGAAAACCTGGAGCCACACAGGGACCAGAAACGTGGAGGGCTAAGATGATGGAGGTGGTACTGGAAAACCTCATGCATCAACACATCAGGGACACTACCAGAAAAGAAAAGAGGATGAACCAGCAAGACTGGATCTCATATTCACCATGAGCACTTCAGTGAGGAATCACATATGAAAGGCCCTCGGAGCTAGTGATCATGTGGTCCTGAGTTCGAATACATGGTAAAGTTATAAGTGGAGAGAGAAGCAACACAAGTAGGACGGGAGAAGCCAAACTACAAAAGAGGGGACTACACAGGCATGAGGAATTTCCTGCATGAGGTACAGTGGAAAAGACAACTGGTGGGAAAAACTGTAAATGAATGATGGAATACTTGACCACAAAATGCAAGGAGGCAGAGGAGAGGTTATACCCAAGGGCAACAGAAATAATGAGAAGACCAAAACAAGTCTTTGGTTCACCCAAAGGTGTAGAGAGGTCAAAACTAAGTACACTAGAGAATGGAAAAAGTATAGAAGACAAAGGACCAAGGAAAATAAGATTAGCTAAAAAGCCAGAAATGAATATGCATGGATAAAGAGAGAGGCCCAGCGGCAATACGACAATGATACAGCATCGAAAGCCAAATCTTACCCAAAGCTGTTGTACAGCCACATCAGGAGGAAACAGTCAAGGATCAGGTAATCATACTGAGGAAGGAGGGAAGATCACAAGAAACGACAAAGAAGTATGTGAAGAGCTCAACACGAGAGAGACTCAAGTAAGTAAACCATACCCTGGCCGGGATTGAACCTGCGGTCAGAGTCTCAAAACTCCAGCCCCTCGCGTTAGCCATTAGACCAGCTAGCCAAAATAAGATTCGTCCAACGAATCTTATTGTGGCTAGCTGGTTAGTGGCTAACGCGATGGGCTGGAGTTTTGAGGACTCTCTGACGCGGGTTCAATCCCGGCCGGGGTATGGTTTGTTTGCAATCGTGTCATTACGATTTCGTGAGTCACTCAAGTAAGTGTTTTCAATGGAGACAGAAAGGACTGCAACAAACCGGGATGGGGTGGAAAGGTACACCAACAAGTGCTGGACACATTACATACAACAGAGGAAGGAGGTGAAGAGGCTGCTAAGTGAGCTAGATACCTCAAAAGCGATGGAACGAACATCTCTTCATGGGCCCTGAGAGAGGGAGCAGAGGCACTGTTTGTGCCACTAACAACATCTTCAACACATCTATCGAAACTTGGCAAAATACCCGAGGTGAGGAAGATGGCAAATGTAGTCCAGTCTTAAGAAGGAGACAGGCAGGTGGCATTAAACCACAGACCAGTGTCACCGACACTGGTCTGTGGTTTAATGCACCTACCTGTCACGACATGCATAGTATGCAAAGTCATGGAGAAGAGTGGCGGAGAACCTAGAAAGGAATGAACTCCTAAACGATAACCAGAACGGCTTCAAGGGAAATCCTGTGCCACAAACCTATGGAGTTTACGACAAGGCGACAGAAGTAAGACATGAGACAGAGTGGTGGGTTAGACTATTTTCTAGGACTGCAAGGACTTCGACACATTTCTGCACAAGAGATTACTGTAATAGCTTGAGGATCAGGCAGGAATAACAGGAAAGGCATTACAATGAATCAAAGAATACCCGACAGCAAGGAAACGACTGATGGTACGTGACGAGGTGTCAGAGTGGGTGCCCGTGACGAGCGGAGTTCCATAAGGGGCAATCATAGGGCCGGTGCTGTTTTTGGCATATGTGAATGACAAACGGAAGGGATAGATCCAGAGATATTCCTGTTTGCGGACGACGTGAAGCTAATGCGAAGAATTCAATTTCTGAAATCGCCACCGAAAACTGTATAAGGACACCTAAATACAAATGTCTAGCTGCTGTTGCTCTATAACAACAGCAACTGAAAAATGCCTGGTTTTCATTATAACATTGCGCAAGCCAAAAATCACCTTATTTTAAGGCCCATTTTCTCTCTTGAAGGGAAAAAAACGCCTATCCAGAAAATAAATTATCTTTTAGTTTGAAGATTGAGACACTTATGTAACATATGGGAACCTTTTTTGAGGAAACGTTTCGCCACACAGGGACTGATTACCTCAAACTCCTCCTCTCCTTGCACCTTTCTGCTTTGTATTGGACTGATGAAGCCACTGTGTGGCGAAACGTTTCTTCAATAAAGATTCCTGTATGTTGCATAAGTGTCTCAATCATAAACTTGTAGGCTTTTAAACCATTTATCACATCTTTTAGTTTAAAATCTGCTCTTTCTAATGAAGTTTTTTTTTTTATAAGAAAATTGGTTGTGCTGCTTTTTGGTATTAATCTTCAAAAATGGCTTAAAATTCACCGAGAGGTTTGTGAGGGCATTTTTAGGTAACACTAGCACAGGAACTTAAAAACTCTGGAGTCTGATATTTTAGGATTATGATTATTTCCATGACGACATCTACTTGGGTAGCTGGCTATATAATGTCATACTAAAATAATGTTTTCTTTTAGAGACAGGCAACTGAATTCAAGATTCAATTTTACGCAACAGACTTTTTTTTTGCCTATTTTGGCTTCATACTGTGAAAAAGTAAAATGATATAAGTTTTAGGACTGCGATTTTTTTTAAAATCAGCTCCAAAACTTTTACTCTTCAAGCTCTGCCACAGCAATAACCTGAACATTGTTGACTGTGTGCTGCAGGTTGATAAAATTTAAACAAGCGTTCCACTCTTAGGGTCATAGCATTACTACTATTGTATATCATGAACTAAAGCTTCCCCGAAGTTAGTATGACATATATGCCAACCTTCATGTAAAATTTTATCGAAACTGGAGATGGTCAGGTGGGGACCCCTGGTCCACTTGACCCATGAGGATCAAATTGGACTACAAAGGGATCTAGAAAGGCTGCAAACCTAGTTTAACAACTGGCTCCTGGAGTTTAACCCCACCAAATGCAAAGTCATGAAGATGGAGGTGAAAGTACAGGTTAGGGGGGCCAAAGACTACAAACCTCACTCAAGGAATAGGATCTGGGTGTGAGTATAATACCAAGCACATCTCCTGAGGTGCATATCAACCAAATAACTGCTGCAACATATGGGCGCCTGGCAAACCTAAGAACAGAGTTTCAACACCTGAGTAAGGAATTGTTCAAGACTGTACACCGTGCATGTCACGCCTTATTGGAGTATGCAAGCACCAGTATGGACCCCACCCCAGGTCAAGCAAGTCAAGAAATTAGAGAAAGTGCAAAGGTTTGCAACAGACTAGTTCCGGAACTAAGGGGTGTGTCCTACGAGAAGAGGTTAAGGGAAATCGACTGACGACAATGGAGAATAGGAGGGATAGGGAGGACATGATAGCGATATATAAAATACTTGGAGGAATTTACAGGGTGGATAGGGACAGGATGTTTCAGAGATTGGACACAGAAACATGGGGACACAAGTGGAAGTTGAAAACTCAAGTTAGTCACAGGAATGTTAGGAAGTATTTCTTCAGCCATAGAGTTGTCAGGTAGTGCAGCAATCTGGAGGTGATGTAGTGAAGGCAGGAGCCATACACAGCTTCAAGAAGAGAGGAGTTTACGACGACCAGCGAGGGCCAGGCGCTGTGACTCGACCCCTGCAACCACAAATACGTGAGTAAATACATCT